TTTTTTTGCTTCTTCAAGTCACAATTCAACGTTCTTCGCAACACAGACTTTCTTTATTTTCCAGGTGCAACATTTCCAGGGCTTTCCTTCTTCCTACCCCCAATTACTCGTGCTTTAAACTTTCAACTATCTTCCATTCTAGAGCGTACCTTCGGGCTGATAATTTCCAGATTTCAACCCCCATGGTGAACGTGGACACAGCGGATAACCCCGATTCTCTCGGGAAACGGTGTCAAAGAAAAAAGAAGGAGAGAGAATTGGTCTATGGGCACGCATGTTTGAGAGAAGTCGAGCGGAGGCGTCGAGAAGTCGTCGTAAAAGGGCGGGCGACGCCTGCTCGTAAAGTTGAACCGCGTGCGCCGGGTGTTCAGCGACGTTGTGCGAAAGAGGCCTGTGCCCGCGAGTCATTTGACCTACATTGTTCAGGGCTCGAAGCCGATGCAGGGACAGCGGGCGTTTTGCGCTGGCCGCAAAGCGGTCGCAGCCGTTGCAACGAAGCAACACGTTTGCCGTGAAAAACCGAGCGTGCACCGCAACGACGCGGAGCGGCGCGGCGTGGCTCGGCTCGGCGCCGTGTGCCACTCTGTAGATTTGCTCGGTGATCGCGCGCCCGTCGCTTTTGCATATTCGATCGATGTCCGGTAGGAAGGCTCGCCTCATTCCGAACGAACGCCACTCGTGTCAGCTGCAGTCGATAGAGATGGTGGCGCACGTTCCTCTCTTCCTCTGCACGATCCACTCATAACGTCGCTTTCGAATTTCCGCCGGATGTATCATCTTGTCGACCCAATCATGTCTAACTTTACGATTCCATGAACTCCGACGTGAATCGATGGATTTTCACTGTCCTTTCGTCGCGCTTTGCACGCGCCACTTTATCGCAGGGGAGAAGTGTACGAACATTTGCGGGGTTCTCGGTATTAATCCGCTTGCCTGCAACACCTGTCCACGTAAATCTGATCGACATTCCTCGGAATCTAATGGAATCTAGGTGAAAAATCCACCATCCATGGTACAAACTTCTTTCACTTTTTTCCTTTTTACGTTCTATCGATCCGTGGGTAGACGAAAAGATCGACGCGACGCGACGCAACACGACGCCTGAACGTTGAGAACCAGGCTCTTCAACGAGCGAACCGCAGCAAAGTTGGGCGCGAACTTTCCATCGGATTTGAAAGCTAGCCAGCCAGCCAGCCAGCCAGTTCGGAACTTGAGGTTTCTAAATTCGAGCGGAAAACGTTCGTCAAACATGAAACTCTGTGAACGAATTCACGGTTGAATTTATCGAAGGCTATTTAAAATATCACGATTAAGACCGTTCGTTAAAGGGGGGAGAAGGGGAGAAGGTGGGTTGTAAAAGGGCGAGAAATTTGATCTTCAAGGTGGATTTACTTTGGCTAAAGAGCAACGCTTTCTCTGGCCGTGAGTGTTTTCTTAGAGATACCAGACCGTGAGCTAAATCGGGGATAATTGCATGGCCGGGGAAACTTTCGGCATAATCGCGACGCTTCCTCTCTCTGCTTCTCGCACATTTACCCCCGGAATATAATAGGCAGAAACCGGAAGGGAATTCCGGCTAACCGTGCAAATCGTTCCTCGAACCTTTTCGTTCTAATGATTAATGGAAGAGTCGGAGCGAAAAATGAGATTTCACGTCGGCAGAAATTCCACCCCCATCCACCGACACCAGGCTTGGTAGCGTTTTCGATGCAAATAGAATAAAACAACGGTGGACGGTGTGTTGATGCCGTATAATGGAAAAACAGTGTACGGCTGCATTGTTGTACCGTGTCACGTCCATCCATCGGACAACCGATTCGAGGGAGTGTCCATTATCTTTTTTTTCTTCCGTTCGTTTTTGTCCACCTACGACCCGACGCCCCCTCGTTATTTTCAAAAAACACCGTGCTTCCAAACAGCTGTCTGTCCAAACAGTTCTCATCGTTTCCAATTATCTAATCTCTGGTCTCTTCAACTTCTCGAGAATCCCTAATTAGAATAGAACGTCATTTCGATTCTGATTTGGTTACAACGAACGATAAAAGGACTCTGCAATTTTTCGTTGCACGACGGTTTTATCGGCGAAACTTCGGCAAACGAATTAGTCCAAAGTCAGAACAGAGACGAACGGCAACTGGGGCGCAACAATTCCGTTTTCCACGCTCGAGAACGCGGCATAGATTTTCCAACGAACCGCGCGTTTTATTTATTCACGAGCCTCGTTAAAATTAGCATCGGTCGCTACCGAATTATCGACGGGAAATCGATTTCCGAACACGTCAGGGACGTTACTCGGCCAGTCACGTGTTCACTGACCTAAACCCTGACGATTCCTTGAATATCGCACGGTGAAAATTCTACAGTTTCGCACATGCCACAGGGATGCACTGTGCAATACTCACATCTTGGGCAGAGAGAATCCTCGTGGCAGGCTGTGGCGTGACGGGAGATCGCATTAATTCGGCAGTATTGCCCTCACACCATGGCACTCTTCGTCTGCTTCGATACTTCCTCCACACGTGCCTGCGAAACAGAACAAAACGCGTACTCCATCAAACTGTCCGTTCGGATTAATTCAATTATTCCCGTTCTATCCGTTAAGGGAGTAACTTGGGTGTTAAACGAAAAAATAGAAGCAACTGCGACGTTGTTAAACACGAGAAAAAAAAGGCGTGTAAATTATTTTCATATTTTACCGCGAGAGGAATTCTTAAATTTTCTTTCTGGGTTAGTTTGTTCACCTGCACGCGGAAAAGAGGAAGGATAAACGAAACGAGCAAGAGAAGTTTCCAACCACAAAGGATAATTCTTCGTCAGGGGGGGCAGTGGCCTTTGAGCGCGTGGAACAGCGAGAAAATTGAAATAGTTAAAAATGAATCGACTCACTCTTTTGCACACCGTGGAGCGGCTTTTAATGAATCAGTGACACAGGCTCGTTTTAATTAGTAGTCATTTTTGCGCATGAACCGCGCCGTTACGCGCAACTTGACCCGCCGCGTATAAACATTTCGCGTTTGCATAGTATATACGCAACGGCGAATTATTTTCAACGGGACGATATCTTTCTGGAAAACGCCCCCAGCATAATACCGTGTAATTTCGCCGGCGAACTAGCCCCCGAGCTTCGAAAAATATGTAATTCGAACGCGAGCAATTGAACAACTATCGAATAAATTCTTCCCATTCTCCGGAATACACCCGGAATAATCCTCTCTTCTAGCTACCATAATTTTAACGGTAACGCTCTTTGATTACACTGAAATTTCGCGAATTTCCAGACAGATTCGTAAAATCGATCGAAAGCCTCGGTGGAAAATTCATTCTCTAAGAAAGGATCTAACGACGTTCGAAATTGACTCGTCTGAATAAAATACGACGAGAGAAATTAACCGAACAATTAGACAGCGCTCGAACAAATTTTCTATTCCGCTAAAGTTCCGACTTCGAAGAGAGGATCCACTTTGCTCCGAGTATTCGTAGAAAATTGAATTTCTCCAACAATGAATCGGGCGATTTCATTGAATAGGCATAATCCTGTTGTCACAGTTCACGTTTTCACAATAGAAACGATCCCTTCATTGACTTCACCCCCTTATTACCCCCGACATAGGGGACACGGGGCAATAATCGCGTGGGTTTACGTGCCGATACGCTGTAAGGGATTAGAGATTACGTCGCATCCGGGGCGACAATTGATCGGGCTGCGAATTTCCGGCGGAGGTCGCCGCGTTATGATCGCGACGCGACGCTATCGTACAGTTCGACAGTGATCGAGCCGCGTGTGAGGCGCGCGCGCCGCCGACTTTGCCTTTAATTGCTCCATTAATCAACGTCGGGGTTTTCCCTTTCGCGAGACAACCGCGAGCCTGTCGTCCTGCTCCCTGCCTTAACGCGACCGTCGTAGCAGTACCGTTAACTTATTCGCTGACTTAACGGTTTCTCTCCTGGCTATTCTCTTGAGTGCAGATCTCGTACTTGAGTCCCTCACGCTACGGGCAAACTGTCGCGAGATTAGAGATCGTTCCGACGAGAGAAAAAAACGGGACTTTTGTGCAGGTGCGTTCAAAGGTAAACCGTGCAGCTGCACTTCTGAAAGGGTTAACTCGATTAACGCGTATGTCGAATGAAAGAGTTAGAGAAATATTGGGATAAAGGAGCCGTATTTCTGGGAACGATGTTTATTTTTCCTTCTAATTCAGATGCAACTTTATGGAGGATTAAAGAAAGGGAAAGTCGGTATTCTTATCTCCTTCTTGTCCCCCGGTTTTGAAAGGAGCACAGTTGTTTGCACTATGTAAAATCTCCAACGATAAGATAGAGGCGTGCTGTTAAAGAAAGGAGGCGGGAAAAGTTTGCGCCACTTTTCTAGGTATACGTTCCAAGTATACCAACTATATTCTTCTTACCTGACGCCGAAGGCAATTCCCAGCGCGACGATCAACGGCAGCAGCGTCGAGATGCACGCTAGAAAAACCGTCTGTATATCTGAGAAACCAGCGAGTATACCTGTAAAATGTGTATAGATTAATGTTACAAGTAATTCGTAAAACGGTGGCAATTTAATAACTCGTAAAAATGAAGGAAATTCAAATTAATCGATACACCGAACAATTCCGCAGTCATGGCCACTTCGACTTCGTCCGTTAAAATACACGAACGATACCAACGAAAATAATGAACGAATCTCTGCTTCCAACGCTTCAGATGATTCTAACGTTCGCCTAATTTCCACGAAGAATGTCTCGGGAATTCCACGACACCCACGTAAATATAATCGATAAGTAAGCACAAATTTGCAATTCCCCCTATCCAATCGTGACTAACAGTTCGTTGTGAATGAAACGGATTATTCAAGGTTACAACCTTAATCTCGAGTCTAACCTAATCCCCGAGTTCGTCAAGGATGCATCCGGAAAGGATAAATCTATCGACGATCTCGTTTCCATTGAGCCTAAACGCTGGGATGATAAGACAAGCTCGAAAGTGAAATGTGCAACACAATGAGCAAGTGTCTGGCTGAAAGCCCGTTAAGGAGCACTGTCGAGCGCGAGAAATGGATGAACTGTTATTTCCGGAAGCTTGCGTCGCTGTACAGAAAGTCACCCTGTCTGTGGAAGAAAGACACGCGTTATTATCTCGACAGCGAGCGCAGGCATCGCGCCTACGCTCGTATTCATCGGGCGATGGATTTACCGGGGATAAGTTTCGTCGAGATCGTCTTGAAGATACGGGAGATGCGACGCGTGTACGTGAACGAGCTGAGAAAGCTGCTCGAGGCCGAGTCGAACGGTCATTGCTACGAGATCATGGTACCGTGGTTCTACGATTTGCATCGATTTCTCTACCCGTACCTGGATTACGAGGAGGCGGTCGAGTTGCACGTTCGTATCGATAAACTCGTTACGCCATTAGCATTGGACGGCGCTCGACGGTTTTGCCGATAACCTAGCAAACCGTACCTTCTCGTTACGAGCACGGTGCTCCGGCTCCGGACGTTCGCGGTGAAACGTTTTTAATTCTCCAATTACCAAACGATGCCTTTCAATAATTTCACGTAAACGTAACTGATGCATCCGGTTCTTTCAATGGAAAACCCCGATATAACCCGAGACAAGTTAGACAGCCGGTAGATATACGTTACCATTACTTCGCCGTTTTTACCTTTTCCTTGAGATAACAGACGAGAATCTTTGGGCAATTCTCCTAATCACCGACGCGTATTAGCAAGTACTCTAAGGTAAGTACACTTGGCCCGTACACAAGCTCGAAGACAAGGGAAGTTTTCGAAAATAACACGCGACTTGCACGACGATATACGAGGACGTTTGGCGCGGAGCCCCGTGCACAAAAGCGACGCATAAACCAACGGTCGTAAATATTTAAAAATAGATTTCCTATTCCGTACAATATCCTGGCTATTATCCCTCCCCGCTTCGCCAAATTTACGATTCGTCCTACGATCTCCGCGCAGAACATCGACCAAATTCTTCCCGAGAGGAGGGAAACTGACGAACCACGGTGGGAGCCACGTACAATCTCCACGAATTGTAGCTGCGTTCGTTGCGCGATATCGATCAGGAACAGTCGTCGCAGCGTGCGTTTCTTGTCTCCCGAACGTTTCAACACCCCCAATTCCCGTAGCTCGCCTGTCATTCCCTCGCCAGAGGTCACGATTCCGCCTACAACTTGCTGCAGATCCTCCACAGGAGTTAGAGAGGACGCGTGGAAACAGCTGGACAGATTTACTCGCCAGAGTGCCTCGAGTTCCGGCCACGAAAAACTAGAACACCATGGGGACACCTCCGGGGACGAATTAAGGGAGAAGCGACAGGTTGATCAATGATGCAACGTGCCCAAATTAACCCTTCTTGCTTGTGACTTAACACCCAACTATTTCGAGAACGGTGAATTGATTGCGGGAGTTTAGAATGGGGATTAGCCTGCTCTGAATACCCCTGGGAATTATTCGTAAAAAGGAAGGGTTAATTGTGGCTACTTAGGCAAAGTGTACCTTCCGAGATAGTACACGTACACTTAGAAGGTTGTCGTTCAAGTAGGAAAATCCTGATTCCGCTATCTGTGACACCGACGGAGATCAATTGGAAACCTTTTCGACAGCCGTGACGCGTTGTTTGAAGAAATTAGGCAAACCCTACGCGCTTAGAGCTCAGGCGGAAATTCGACGTATCTTGAGAAACGTGCTAATCGAATCTAAGGTAACTGTCGAACATTTCTGATCGACGAAACGAAGGGAAAATTTGTAACGCCGTTCTCCCTGCTACAGAACAATTCCCCCTAAAAGAAAATCCTACGAAAGAACGATCCTATATCCCTGACAAAAGCATCGTCGAGGACCGACGAAAGATAAACCTTCTACTTAAATACTTGAAGAGCAATCCAGCTGAAGATAACAGCATTGTTTCAGATCCAGGTTGAAATGTATTCGAAAAGCAGCGTGTTCGATCGGCACCTCCGTTCGTTCATGCGTATCAGGTAACTCTCATAAATATTGCAAAAAAGTCTGGCGGCGCGAGTACCTCGCGAGGAGCATGAATATCTAACGACAAAAAGCTTCAATCGGAGACTGAATTTCATCGTATATCACCCGGTGTTGTAGCGGCGCGGATGGTATCGATCCGACTTTGGTAGACCGCAGCGTTACGATTAGTATTCAGCCGGTGTCGCAGTCGGCCGGTCGGACAAGGACGAGGATGGCGAGATTTGCTCCGGAGGATGCGTGCCACGCAGCCCTGTTCCTGATAACGGGTTATCCTTTGATCGAACCCTTTCCCGTAAAAACCCCACGTCCCTCTCTTTGATAACCGATTAGACGATTAACCTTTTTCTCCAACGACGATGATCGTTCTTCGAAAAGCTCAACAATTTTCAGCTTCGACGGAGAAAAGGATTATTTTACAGAAATATTTCTTCCGTTATCGGAGACAAGTTTGGAGATAAAGCGTTACCTACAATGTTCCATAGAATCTTCACGTAACCTGAACCTTCGATCCCAGAATTTCTAGCAAAATCCTCTGCTACACCGGTCGACGATGATATTTTTCCAATCGAAAAACAAGTCGAGCCGAGTAATAAATTCGGAGAGCCGGCAGGATTAAGCGTAGCCGGAAACAGTTTTGCGCGTCGCGAGGGAAGAGAAACAAGGGGGAGATCTCGGAATTCGTGGCTAGAGTCGGTAGAACGGAGCATGAACGGGCAACATTTAGACCAATTCCCAAAATCCCCTCGATGTCCGATGAAACAGGGACTCTTACCAGCCACTCGAAAGAGGTTCGACGTTCGGACAACATTAGAAAATAACTACCGGTCGAGTATTCTCCATATTGTACCATATTCTCCATAAAACGAAAAAAAATCGAAGAAATCCAATCACTGTTGCCACTTGAAGCATGCTTAATTCAATGGAAACCGCGATTCATCATCGCCGTATGACAAACGTTGAAATTGTTTTTTTCGAGTGGACAAAGGGCGATCGAATCTCGTCGACCTCGCTGTGTGACCCGGCTAGCCACAACCATGAAATACAATTTTTATTTTTCGCGCTGCTTCAAAGGGGAATAGCAGCGATCGCCGTTTGAATGGGACAAGCAACGAGGAAGCGGAGGTGAGAGAGAGACGGGTTAAGTTGGTAAATAGAAATAGCGGAGATGATTGACAAGTGTGGCATTTCCAGGCGAGAGCCGGGCCTAATGCAGTGGCCCATTAGATCCAGCTTTGACCAGGTGTAACGCGCATTAGCCTCTTATTACTTACTGTGATCGAGCTCGTCGTGTTCCGCGAGGTAGCTGGTCGCGTTGTAGATGTGATGGTCGGGTTTAGCGGTACTGGTGACCGCAGCTCCACCCGTTACTGTCGTGGACGGATTAGTCGGAATTGCAGTGCCAGCGCTAATCGCGGCTGCGCCCGCGCTAGGTGGCGACGAGGATGATGATAACGTTGATACGAGACTCATCGTGCTGCTCGAGTTCTCGATCTTCACGGTTGCGTTCAGTTCGCTGGCCATTGTTTTTCCTTTTTTTTCTTCTTTCTATCCCCTGAACAATCTTACTCTATAATACCGACGGCATATCGCACTTCCCGTCACCAAGGTTACAGAAATCGAAGAACCGCGACGGACGGTCGAGTCACTGAGTTTTCCGGGTGGTAGATTCGATCGATCGCCTACCGACCAGGTCTATCGTGTCGCGATAGACACGATCGAATATCTAATTTGCAATTACTATTCAATTTAGACTTAAGCTGCGCTGATTAGATCCGTTTGACAACCTCTTCGTCTCCTCGATGCGAACGATCTTCAACCTGATGATACCGTCTCTCCGGCCCTCTCATCTCTTCCACGAACCGAGTAGGTGGGGGGGCTAATAGTCGAAAAGCGAAATACGCGATTGGGAGACAATTAGCTCGACCGAGCTCTTTAAAGATACGACCGATTAATTGTCCGTGAGCACACGTAGAAACGATCAAGGGAACCGAAACGATTTAGCAGGATCGCGTGTTCTCGTCGACGACGGTATAACGGCAAATCCACGCATTTATCCGTGACTAGTTCGCAACGGAAACGAACGAATCCTTCATAATTCCGGACCGGCTTCTGTCGGTGATTTCTCACCCCTGGGCGTTTCGCCGAGTGGATTAAGGGGTGAAGGAAGAAACTTGTTTGCCCCTTGCCTATCCCTGGTAGCAACCAGCAGCACACGCGAGCCTCACTCGGTTCAATTTCACCGTAGAAGACGATTCTGCTGGTGTTTGTGAGCTGGTAGCCGAGTGTCGCTCATTCTCGCCGCTTTCCTCACGGGAACACACCAGCTTCTGAAACAGAAAAAGGAACGCCTCCTGTAGCCGGATTGCCCGTGTAATTTCATTTCCTGCAGGGGGAATTCATCGACCCGTTGTAAGATTACTCCCCTCGTCGCAGTTAAGAGAACGTTAAGGGTCGCGTTCCGTTGAATCGTGCGATCTGTCGCGCGCGATTCTTTACGTTTTACGGTTGCCGCGTCTACGTCGCTGGCAACTCGCTCGGTCATTACCGTCGTTAAGCGGCTCACGCTCCAGAGAAATCTTTTTCAAGGTCATTTCACCGCGGTCCATCATCTCTAGTGTTTCTGTAACGCTCGTAAAGCCTCCCGTTCCACGTCATTACTAACCCCTTCTCCCCATCCTACACCCCTGTCGTCGTCGTGGTCGTCGTTGTTGTTGTCGTTGTCTTCTCCGTTGCTTTTATGCAACGAATTTCACGCGACACTACCGGCATCGAGCAAATGCCACTATTTCCACCACCGGTTTGCAAACGATATCGAATAAATTTCCCGAATAGCTTCCATCATACCCTACGTAATAAGAAACACGCGGCCTGTCATCTAGACGTCCTTCGTTCACGTTTTCGTCGATCCTGCTTCCTACCAGCTTCCTGTACCACCTTTCGTCTCTGTCGGTATTCACCCACGCGAAATTTGTCTTTGTCCGTGAAAACGTTGCCTCGAGCTTTTCCTCGAGGATCTCTCCCATGTACGGAACACCGTCGTGGAACCATGTCGTAGATTGAGACAGTACGAGACTGATTTTCCCATTTCCACGGATCCAACTATCTATTGCTACGTACCTAGTTGACGCTGATTAGTAATAGATCTGGTTCGAACTCGGTGTACCGAGCACGAACAGCCAATTTCGCTATGCGTACCGTACACGATTACATTCTCACACACACATGCGCACAGTTGTAACAGCAGCAGTTTGCAACGCAGACGTGCTTGATAATTAAACTTGGCCGATAGTTAGCGCGGCATTGTTCCGCTAACAGTTTTCCGGGCGTGCCGTAATTATTCATAAGCAGCAAGTTGGTAATGAACGCGTGTGTACACGCGTGTTCACGGGTTCGAGCTTGAAAATCGGCCACCGTAGCCAAGCTCGGTGACCCGATGTTTTCCAATTTTCCGCGAAACCTTCCGCGCTTTTCTCCGCTGTCCTCGTTTGCCCCGACTCGAAAATCTCCGCGGTGGAAAGCGCATATCAGCCGGATGAAAAACCGGGTGAAAAGCGATTGTTCCTTAGGAAATCGGAACAAATTGGACTTCCTCGAACTAATGAAAGTTGGAGAGCTCTCTACCAACGACGCACGATTTCGTCGGCCGTTTAATATCGATAATTGGCACTCGATGGCCGTGGCGGAACGTCGTTAACACGAGCCACCGGCACAGTTCGAACACGACTTCGCATTAATTGGCACGGCGGCGCATTGAAATTGCAACTGCACTGCGGTTTGCCTCGAGGACACTCCTGCGCCTTGCCAGGATGCATCCCGTGCTAGCACGCGCCTCGCATCGTATAATGAACTCGAGCGTAACAAGCGTTTTCCGCGGACCAAATTATTAATCGGATTGGAAAGCGATCCCACGAGTTTCCCTCCAGTCGAGCTTCTTTTGTCACGGCTCGATGCATGAAAACACACCGTCTCGTCCATGGTTCATTTATCAGACTTCTGCCAGCGGGAAAGTTTGCCGGCTTAACGTGAACAACGGTCTAACGGTGATTACCAACCACGTTGCGTATATGTACACACTTTCCGCGACCTCTTTAATACCATCCTTCCGCTTACCCCGTCGCCAACGAAACTTCCTACGAATATATCCAACGAACGCGTCTCCTACGTCTGCAACTTGCAAACTATTTTCCCTGTAATCTCTCTCTCCACCGATAGAGTATCACCACTGGCGGGATTACGTTCGCTCGAGTTACTCCAATTGGAGATTCAAATTGCCGGTAGGACAAATCGAAATATTCCCTTTGTCGCCGGGAGAAAGGAAAGAAAAATTCCACGAGTTCCTGGAGTTGGGCGCAATCAACGGAACGTCGTCTAGCTCGTCGCAATCAGCGGTGAAATCGCGGGACCACAAGAACGTAGGTGCCCGTGAGCCGAGATTTTAATGAAAATTTACATTCTCAGTGGCGTCGGTGTGCCTGGAATGTCTGTCAGACCCGGTACACGTCGTCTGTCTTCGCGAGAATATCAGCTTAACTTGGTTACAACGCGCACACGCGCGTGTTTACGCCACTGTGTGCGCGCATGTATGCGTGTGGGAAGAGGATGATTGTAAGCGGACGAATGGTCGAACGAGGTCCGCCTTCGAGGTTCGTTCCCTCGTTTCGAGAGGGCATCTGGTCGTTATGGTGGTTTAGTAATTCTTACGTAACGCGGCTTCGCGAGGATCGCGAGGCGCGCCGATTTGCATAATCGAACTCGGCTGTACTTTCTTCGCGGCGCTAACCGCTGCGCCGAGCTAAACG